CTTGACACTGGGGCAGTGCTGGGAGGACTCGCGGTTCCGCTGATCCCGGTGCTAGGAAGGCCTCGCGGCTCCGCTGATCCCGGTGCTGGGAGGCATATTACCCTTTTACTATATAGGATAGAGGCCTGGTGCACGGGTGGGGGCCGGCTGGTTTGCCCTGAAGGGTGTCCTGGATCAGGGTGGGGGTCCCGCTTGGGTGCCTGGCCAGCCTGGGTGAGGGGATGATGGCTGTTTGCAGCTGGTCACACCCCCTTCAGGATGGGGGTCCCCCTGGGGTGCCTGGCCAGCCTGGGTGAGGAGCTGAGGGCTGTTTTCAGGCTGGCGGTGACTGAAGCTCCCAACCTCTCCTTTTTTTCTTTTTTTTTTTATTCTGGGATTTATTTACCTTCTATGGCTGTCACTGGAGCTGAGAGCTGGCTTTAGCTCTGAGGCTCGGCTCCAGCTCTGAGACCTCAGCAGCTGAAAGCAGGTTTCTGGGCTTTGTTTACCTTCTGTATTTGAAACTTTGTTGCGACTCCAGCTCTGAGATCCCGGCTGACTGAAAGCAGGTTTCTGGGGATTGTTTAGCTTCTATATTTGTAACATTGTTTCTTAGAGTGCAAGCACAGAGCTGGGCTGTGGCAGGCGGGGAACCTTGGCTTCCTTTGTCACTGGAGCAAGCAAGCCTCCTGTTCGCTTCAGCTGCCTGGCTGCCGGCCGCCATCTTGGTTGGCAGTTAATTGGCATATCTCGCTGATTAGCCAATGGGAAGGGTAGCGAAGTTACGGTTAATTACCATGTTTCTCTATTATTAGATAGGATTAGAGGCCTGGTGCACGAGATTTGTGCACTGGGTGGTGTCCCTCAGCCCAGCCTGCACCCTCTCCAATCTGGGACCCCTTGGGTGATGTCCAACTGCCGGTGTAGGCCCGATCCCTGTGGACATCCCTCTCACAATCTGGGACTGCTGGCTCCCAACCGCCCACCTGCCTGCCTGCCTGATTGCCCCTAACTGCTTCTGCCTGCCAGCCTGATCACCCCCTAACCACTCCCCTGCCAGCCTGATCGATGCCTAAGTGCTCCCCTGCTGGCCTGGTTGCCCCTAACTGCCCTCCCCTGCAGGCCTGGTCACCCCCAACTGCCCTCCCCTTCCGGCCATCTTGTGGCGGCCATCTTTTGATCACATGGGGGTGGCCATCTTGTGCAAGGGTATGATGGTCAATTTGCATATTACCTCTTTATTATATAGGATAAGTATCTTTTGGGAAGATATTCTGAGATATGCAAGTTTTTTTTTTTATTATAATCATGTCCACTAATTTTAGCATCCATTGATGAGTCACGCATGCAACAACTATTGCTCTGGTGTTTCCCAAATGGTGATTTTCTATTTCTATTATTCTTTTTGCATTTATTAATTGAAGTTGTACTGTAAAAAAGGGACACCTCTTTTCCTTCATTTACTTTTACATTCATTTATTTGATGACTAGTGGCCTGGTGCATGAAATTCGTGCACGGGGGAGGGGGTGTTCCTCAGTCCGGCCTGCACCCTCTCCAATCTGGGACCCCTCGAAGGATGTCCTACTGCCGGTTTACAGGGATTGGGCCTAAAACAGCAGTCAGACATCCCTCTCATAATCCGGGACTTCTGGCTCCTAACCACTCACCTGCCTGCCTGCCTGCCTGATTGCCCCTAACCACTCTGCCTGCTGGTCTGCTCGCCCCCAACTGCCCCCCGCCGCTGGCCTGCTTGCCCCCAAATACCCCCCGGCCAGCCTGATCACCCCCAACTGCCTCCTGCTGGCCTGCTCACTCCAAACTGACTCCCCGCTGTCCTGATCACCTCCAACTGACCCCCATTGACTGCCTGCTTGCCCCCAACTGGCCCCCCTGCTGGTCTGCTTACCCCCAGTGGCCCCCCCCCCACCAGCCTGATCACCCACAACTGCCCTCCCCTCTTGGCCTCTAACTGCCTCTACCTCGGCCCCGCCACCATGGCTTTGTCCAGAAGAATGTCTGGAAGGTCTCCTGGAAGGTCTCCCAGTCTAATTAGCATATTACGCTTTTATTAGTATAGATAGAGGCCTGGTGCACGGGTAGGGGGTGGCTGGTTTGCCCTGAAAAGTGTCCCGGATCAGGGTGGGTGTTCACTTGGGGCATGGGGCAGCCTGGGCGAGGGGCCTGTGGTGGTTTGCAGGCCAGCCATGCCCCCATGGGCTGAGGGTCCCCACTGGGAGGCGTGGCCAGCCTGGGTAAGGGGGCTGATGGCTATTTGCAGGCTGGCCACACCCCCTTCAGGATGGGGGTCCCACTGTGGTGCCTAGCCAGTCCTG